GGAATGAGTGCCCGCGACAGTCTATGGAGTCATTCTTCAGCCGTATATGGAGTGTTATGGCACCTGAACGAGTGAGGTTTTTTCTTTGGCTAGTAGGGAAGCAATGCGTCATGACGAATGCAGAAAGGAAGAGGAGACATCTCTGTGACTCGGATATTTGTCCCGTGTGTAAAGGTGGAGTGGAAACGCTCATACATATCATTAGAGACTGCCCTGCCATGCAAGGTATCTGGACCAGACTTGTCCCAGCCAGGAAGCAACATGAGTTTTTCATGAAGCCGCTCCTGCCATGGTTATATGAGAATCTGGGAGAGGACGGTGTAACGTTTGGAGTGCCGTGGTCTACTCTGTTTGGGATGTCTATTTGGTGGGGTTGGAAGTGGAGATGCGGGAACCTTTTTGGAGAGAATGGGAAGTGCCGGGATCGGGTGCGCTTTCTCAAGGACCTCGCGAAAGAAGTGCTTACAGTCTCTGAAGCGTGTCTGACACAGAACCCGAAACCGTTACGGGAGGAACGAATGATCAGGTGGATACAGCCGCAAACAGGGTGGGTTAAACTAAATACGGATGGAGCTTCCCGCGGAAACCCAGGGTCTGCTGCTGCAGATGGGGTGCTTCGGAATAACTATGGAGAATGGTGTGGTGGCTTTGCGCTACATATCGGGAGATGCACAGCGCCGGTAGCGGAGTTGTGGGGCGTTTATTATGGATTGTGCTTTGCTTGGGACAGAAAGATTGTGAAGCTCGAAGTGGAAATTGATTCTGAGCTGGTGGTGGGTTTTCTTACGACAGGGATTGGTAGTTCACATCCGCTGTCCTTCCTGGTGCATCTGTGCCATGGCTTCATCAAAAGGGACTGGGAAGTCCGCATATCTCACGTGTATAGGGAGGCTAATCATCTGGCTGACGGATTAGCAAACTATGCTTTTACTCTTGCTCTAGGTTTGCATAGCTTCGTAGAAGCCCCAAGAGATGTTATTTCTATTTTACAAGATGATGTACTTGGATCTGCGTATCCAAGGAATGTTTGCATTTCTTAAATTTGTTTCATGAATAAAGAGTGGGAAACATTTGTTTCCCACACAAACCACCAAAAAAAGAACACAAACAATAAATATCAAATTATTTTTGGAAAAGAAGTTTGAAACCCTTTTGCCTTAATTTTAATCTGCACAACAAACAAAGTCATGTCATCTTTTTTTTTAACGCAAGTTTTATTCAACCCTTTTTTATGGAGAATTGGCAATATACCCCAAAAAAGGTCTTCCTTGTCCTTTTACCCTTTTTTTGACTTTGGCTATTTTTTTCCACTTATTGCCCTTCAATATTGTTTAAACATGATAATGAATATTTTTTTAAGTGAACACAATTTCTAAAAGTCCTAAAAATGATCTAAGAATATGTAAAATATTTGAATATTTTTAAACATGTTTTGGATGGTTAAAAAATTCTTTGAAGTTTTGGTTCTACAAAATAAAATATCAAAGCAGAATACGCTTTCTACAAGTTATTCGCAAGTCTAACCGTCGTAGGATATGATATCTACAATTTCTTCATTCATCTTCCGGATTAGACTTCGATATCTACCATATACAATACACTCTACTATTTTGTAGAATTCGCTCCAAAAATATTCTACGGAATACACCATCCTGCTACTACTCGTAGATTCCAAATTCTACGGTAAACACTGCTATCTACCAGTCATAGTTTTCGTGTACTACATATTTCATGTTTTTCTGCAAGGCGTAGAACTAGGGATCCGAAGTAATCGTGTTGTTCACAGGATGTTCTACTAAATAGGTTAGTTCTACATTGTGTAGAGTTCATCATCTGCAAAAATCGAGAGAATATTGCAAAAAAATATTTTTCAAATCTTTGTTTCCTTATTTTCATCCAACTATCCGAAAATAAACCTCCATGATCATGTTCTTCCTCGTCTTCTTCATCCCCTTCCTCCTCTGTAGTCCTCTTTCTCTCTATCCAATATGGTTCAAATCTATGTAGTATGTGGTTCATGGAAAAGGTGTCAAATCAATGGGTGGATATTTGTTGCTGATGAAAGGAAAGGAGGAAGAGTAGTTGGTGTGGAATCTAACTACTAAGTTTGACGACCTAAAAGCATGGTTTTAGAGGATTTCTCTCGAGAGCGGAATCGACGTCGAGTTTAGCTATTTGCCACGCGGTTTGATCAACGATGCTATATCTCCCCGAGTTGTGATTTCCAACGATCGGCAAGTGCAAAATTTCGTTGGATACATAAGGAAGCAGGAGTCAAAGCAGTTGTGTTTGACACTTAAGGATCCCAAAGAAAATAGTGGAGTCCACATTGATGGTAATGGTGATCATGGAGGTGTACCTCCAACCGATGGATTATCCCATGTCAAAGATGAGATCAAAAAAGGGAAAATGATACTCAAAGAGATCAATGATGAAGAGGAAGTATTGTCGCAAAAGGAAATCGAGTATGATTATCAATTTCGTGGCGCTTTGGATGGAAGCTGTGAAGATAAAGCAAGAATTCAGAAGCAAAAGTCTGTTGAAATCCACTTTCGAAATCCTTGCTATGAAGCACAATTTCGACTACATCGTGCTCAAATCGGACACTAGTTTTTGGACAGCTCGGTGTGTGGTCAAAGAATGCAACTGGCGCGTTCGAGCAGTGAGTCTAAAAGGTACGACCATGTTTGTCATCACCAAGTATGTGGGTGAACACACTTGTGCTCCTTCAGGTAAAGCCAAAATCGGGAGGACAGCTTCAGCGAAGACAATTGGCAATCTCATTATGCAGAAGTATGAAGGTGTCAAAGAAGGACCTAAACCCAATGATATCATTCAGCTGATGCGTATTGAGCACAGATGCAAGATCTCTTACGATCTAGCATGGGAGGCACGTGAGTTTGCTGTCAATTATGTGAGAGGAATACCTGAGGAGAGTTATGCAAAAATACCAAGGTACTTGCACATGCTAAAAGAAGCTAATCCGGGTACCCATACAGCTTTCAAGACGGATCCTGATGGTAGTTTCAGATACATGTTCATCTCTTTTGGTCAGTCTATAAGAGGGTTCTACAAAGCCATGCGACGGGTAATCGTTATTGATGGTACATTCTTGAAGAATAAATACAAAGGAACACTACTAGTTGCTACAGCTTTAGATGGTAACTCGAATTTGTATCCACTAGCATTTGGTGTGGTTGATTCAGAGAATGATCTATCATGGGAATGGTTTTTGAGGCAGCTACATGTTGTTATTGAGGATGATTACGATCTGGCCTTCATCTCAGACAGGAATTTGTCCATTGGCAGACTACTTCCTATAGTTTACCAACGAGCTACTCATGGAATTTGTATTCACCACTTGCTGAACAATGTCATCTCTTATCTACATGGAAAAGGTGTGGCTGCTTTGGTTGCAAAGGCTTCTAAAGCATACAGAATTGCTGATTTTCAGACGATGATGACTGATATCGTTAAGAACAGACCGGATGTGGGGAAGTATCTTGTGAAAGCTGATGTGAGAAAGTGGGCTCGCTGTCTATTTGTTGGATACAGGTATGATGTTAGGACAACTAACCCCGCTGAGTCGTTGAATTCAGCATTGAGATCACCTAGAGAGTTCCCGGTAATCCCTCTACTAGACAGCATCAGAGAAATGTTGACAAGGTGGTTCTTTAAGCGTAGAACATTGAGCTCCAAGCATACCCACCCTCTAACTTGCTGTTGAGAAGAAGATTACAAGAAGGACGGAAAAGGGTAAAGCATTCACGGTTCAGCAAGTAGATGCAACTCGATTTGTGGTGGGAGGTGACATCTACGAATGTGTGGTTGATTTGGCGAAGCGAACATGTACATGCGCCAAGTTTGATCTGCAGAAAATTCCATGTAGGCATGCGATCCCAGAGCAATTTTTGCAATTGGAAAGCAACCACATGAATTCACACTGAGCTGTGGAAAACTGAGTTATGGAGAGTTGGGTATGAAGAAGCAGTAAATCCAATAGGTGTTCCTGAGGATGCATGGAGTGTCCCCCAAGTTGTTGATGAAGAGATTGTTTCTTGTCCAGAATCACGCAGAGCTGCTGGTAGGAGAAGAAAGAGACGGTTTGAATCGGTTGAGGACAAGATTAGATCGCAGCAAAGGAAGACACACAAGTGTAGTCGATGTGATAATTCAGGCCACAATAGAGCAACATGTGACATGCCAATCTAGTATAACACCATGTTCCATTTCGTTTTGTTTCTGTTTTCTTTGTTTCCGTTCTCTTTGTTTTTGTTCTCTTTGTTTCAGTTTTTTTTTTAAAATTTTTTTTGGAGAAAGACTCTTTTGTTCTTTGCTGTTCCTAGTCAGAAACATGTTTTGCTTTTGTTTGTTTGTCGAGTCCAGTGATCATTAGATAAATGCATGCTCCAATGATCGTGTATTACAACAAAGACATAAGTGAAAAGCAATAATCTGTAAAGTCATCGTATTCATACAAACATGTTTTAACACTTTTGTTCTTTACAAACATGTTTTGTAGTCACTGTTGTTGGAAAGGTCACTTTGAATCTTCCCAAGGTTCCTTCTGCATATAGTCTTTTGGGCAACTCAGAGTCCATATCTGCACCTAACGAAACCACCAGAGAATAAATTGTTAGGAAAAGGAGAAGAGAAAAGAAAGTGTAGTACAGTTTGACTTTATCATCAACAAGTTTCATATATGAAAGTGACAAGGTTCTAACACTAGCATGCATTATCTCAAGAGTTAAACAAGCAAAAGCAGCAGACACGAGTTAAACAAGTCAAAGCAGAGGACAAGAGATATATATAAAAAAAAAAGCGGGAGACTAGATAAAAAATCTAACAGAACAAAACAATTATATATCATGTCCATCAGTAACAGTAAGAAGAGAATTGCTTTAAAAGCAAACATTAACAATCACACGTCAAACAATAACATAACTGAGTGATAAAACACCAAATGGAAACAACAAGCAGAAAACAGAAAAGCAGAAAATAGAGGAAACAAATCTTACAAGGATCAAACAATAAATATGATAAAAAACAAAGCGTCCCTAATTGCTAATCCCTATTCAAATTTCATATAACACAATCTACCAATTGCACACACTATTCCAAATTATTCTTAAAGCAACGGAATTCTAACAATTCATAAGCACACTAGGAACAGAAAACGTTTACCTCTAACTGGCGGAAGTTAGTGGCTGAGAAGCTGAGTGTAAAACCACCACACGAAGAAGAACTACGGTGTACTTCTTCACGGATTAAAGAAGACAACAAAGGCTGTAGGAAGACACCAACAAGAGAGTAAGACGATCATTAGAAAGAGGACATAAGAAGACACAAATTGTTGTACAGAAAACAGAGAGCATTAAATCTATTTTAATATGAAACAGAACCATTACGTTTTAGCCTTGAACACAAGTATAACCACATGATTGTAAGCAAAAACACAAATCATTCAAAGAAAAAATGAAATGTTCAATTACTCAAATCATACATATCTACAAAAACTATCCTAGGCATCAAATGTGAGGAGAAAACCCGAAATTAATTGAGGTTGCATAAGTTGCACATTCATGTTTTCATATGCAAACCCCAAATCAATTTCGCGAACACTGAAATCTAGCAAACCCTAATTGAATGTCATCAACAGATGATTCACAATCAAGTCAACCAATAATCTACCGAAGAAGTGAATGAAAAACTCGATTAAGCATATCACACTAACCTTGCGAATATGAAAAGGAAGTGAATCGGATTTTCGTGGAAAGGGAGAGAACTGGTGTCGGCGGAAGTCTACGGGAAGGAATGCCTAAAGAGAACAGAGCATGCGAAGGAGAACACGGCGACGGCGAGCGACGGCAGGGTAATCGCCGATGGGTGAGATTTCGGCTTCGATTTTCTCCGGCGGAGTGAACGAAAGAGACAAGAGGAGATTAATTGATCAAAAGTGGGTGTTTAATTGATTTTGTTTTATTAGTTTTATTTTTTAATTTTTTTTAAATCGAAAATGTCTTAATTTCTCAAAAAAACATTATCAATTCAATTTAAAGGTTGAAAACTGACAAATTGCCAAAAAAAAGTGTCATGAGACAAAAATCAAATGCAAAGGTGTAATGAGACAAGGAAGCCTATTTTTTAAAATATTTTGGCAGTTTCTCTTCTTCTTTTTTACGTTGAATGCATCATTTTTAGAACAATCAGATTATATAAAAAAAAACATCTTTTTCATGAAAGAGTGAGCTAACTCAGCAAATAAAAAACCACAAGAATCCTACGTATTCATGTGTGTCACTAAGCTACTACAAACTACAAACAAGAGTAGCTACAAATCGGTTACCAACTTTTTTTTCTATAAAGAAATCGGTTAGTAACTTAATAATCCAAACTAGAGCTAAGGCAAATGTGAAACTTATATTGCCCATGTTTCACAGTCTCTCTCATCGATCATCAGCCGAAGATACACTGCTCCTTAGTTTTTGCCCCGATATAATTTGTTCTTCCCATGCGCCTGTCTGTTCAATGTTCTTGCCCTTTTTTATTACTCCTATATTTTATACTAAATAGACACCCAATGACTTTATGTGTCTCCTACTTCATGCATAAAACTCAACCTCTCCCATGTGCCCTCACATGCATTCCAATGAATTACCACTCTATTAATTAGTTTTCTTTCAGATTATGTGAAGCATTGTTGTTAACACACACAAAAATTAAACACCCACTTTTGATACCACATTCAACAAACTATGGATCTCCGCAAAAGCAGAGCAAGAACAACCACCGTTACTCTCTCATGTCTTCTCTTAGTCTCTTCATTATACACAATCTCCACGGCAAAGTCAGTCACAGATTCGCTGTCTTACCAACTCTTTCTCTTTGCCGGTTTCTTTCTAGTAGCAGCTTTGTCGCTTCTGATACTTGTCACAGCGGCGCGAGCCACCATGGTCGCTTGGATAACAGTGCTCGTTCTGCTCGCCTTCTCTGGTACACATCGCCGTGTTCTAGTGAAGAGGGGGAAGACGATCACGATGGACGTGGCTATGTCCTTAGTCAGGTCCTAGTGGTTAGTTACTTAGTTTTATGGCGGTTCTTTGCTGTTAGAGAGTTTTTACTAATTTACAGTTACATATCACTTTTGTAGTACAAAAAATATTATGCCTCTTCTATCAAACACAACGCTATTGAGGGATTTTTTCCACAGCTATTGAAATTGTGTATGATCCAGCCTAAACGACGAACTGAGAAATTAAATCCACTGTTTATGGTGTAAATGGTAACCCAATTGAAAACCAAATCATTATGATTTTTTTTCACAATCTCCACTTGGTCCAACATCGAGGGGATTCTTCCATTTTAATTATATATTCGATAGTAAACGTAAGATTTCATATGATTTTTTCATCGTAATGAAATAATCTTCTATAAAATTTACGATTTTGCTAAAAGGAGGAAAACGACATATTTAATTATAAATCTATACAATACTCCCTCTGTCATAAAATGTAAACTATTTTGCAAAACAAATTTGACCCAAATATAAGCTATTTTCTACAATCAATTCACTTTTTACTTTATGGGGTATTGTGTAACCAATTATATTATACTTTTTTTCCTTGATTAGTTAGAGTAAGTTTCATTTATATTATTAATGATACTTTATTGAAAAAAAATACTTTCCTTAATTTTTCACTTTTGCCTAAAACTGCTTATAATATGGGACAGAGTGAGTAATTGTATCCTTTATTCTATTGTGTATATATAGGTATTGAGCACACATATCACTGAATGTCACTTGAATTATCATCTACAACCAATGGCTAAACTTTCTTCTTTCTCGATGCTCTTTTTCATCCTTCTATCTACCTTTATGATTTGCCATCTTCCCATGGTGAGCTCAGAATGGTGTGTACCGACTCTGACAGCAACAGATGCACAACTACAAGCGAATATTAATTTTGTGTGCAGACAAGGAAAATATATTTGTGATCCAATCAAGCCTTATGGAAAATGTTTTATCCCCAATACTCTCCCAAATCATGCAGCATTTGCGATGAATCTGTACTACCAAAAAATGGGCCGCACCAAAGAAGCGTGTAATTTTGGAAATACCGGAACATTCACTATTACTAATCCAAGCTTTGGTTCATGTGTGTACCAATCTTAAGATTATTTCTTTCTTTTTAAAATTTTTTTTTTCATATATGTGAAACTCATGTGTGAATGAATGATTTTCCATTTCCAGAATATGTAACCAAAATTATAAAGAATAAAACGAATTATGTTCTTCTATTTTAGTGATTTCTTTATTCTCCTTGTCATTTCTCTTTTTTTTGTTAACAGCTCGGGAATTTGAAACCTACTTGTCATTTCTCTTTTGTTTTTTTAATAGCTCTTCATATGAGATTGCATTAATAATTTTGAAGCACCCAACGCTAATTATTTTGTAGATCTTAATTGTATATTAGTTAAAATTTAAGTTAATATTAAAATTAAATAATATTAAATATTTGAAAAAAATCTGAAATTTTGAAAATCATAAAGTTTATCCAAAATTTTTTCAAAATAATTTATTATTATGAATACTTGTTATAATAATTATTCTTTATTTTTATATTAGACCTTCATTAAAAAAAAAAACTGATATAATGGAGATTATTGGTAGGAGCTATGGTTGCGCTGCACGGCCCTAAATCTCTTTAGAGCAATCCAAAGTTACCAATCAAGGTCTCATTTTATCTCTTTCCAATTTTGAAACACATGGAAATTTTTTTTTAATGGAAATTTCGTACCTTTGGAAATCAATTTTTATAGAGCACCAAAATAAGTGCTTTTAGAATTTTCTCTTCTCTTTCCTTATTATTTTTTCAAAATTTATTTTCTAAACTATTATTTCTATATCTTATTTTTTTTAATGTTATATATAATGTCACAATCTAAATAAAAAATCGTGCAACACTAAAATCTACAATCAGAGTCACAAATTCTATAGCATAAATTCTATAGCAAAAAATATTAAAGCTACAGTCACAACCAACAGACCCAAAATTTAAAACATAATTTGATATATTCTATTTTTTGAGATATTTAATAATGTAATATAAAAAATTAATATATAAGTATTTTAATTAAATGATACTAAAATTAATAAAATTTAAAACTTCAAAAAAATAATAATTTATTGTGAACCTATATCTTACCAATGGAAAAAAAAACAATTTGTGATGAAGTTCTCAAATGAGAAAAAAAAACATCAAAATTACTAATATTAATTGGTGAGATACTGACCAAAGGGGATATTATACGGTATTAAAAGCATTTATAGGTGAGTTTCATGAGAAGTTCTAATAATTTAACTAAAAAATGATTTGACAAAAAAAGTAAGATATATATATATATATATTAACAAGAACCAATCAGGATGTGACATATGACAAGTCCCTTTCAGAAACGATCCTCTACACAAAATCTAATTTGGCTCAAACTTGTCAGTAAGACGCCATATCACAATTTTTTTTATTCAATTTAATTTAATTTATACTAGATTAAAGCTTGCGTAATGTGTTGGTGGTATTGTTATTTTTCCTACATAAAATTTATTTTTCAATGTTGTGAAAACAATTTTTCTTTTAAATACGACATTTTCTCTTTTACCTTAAACCCTAACTCGACAAAAGAAATGCATCAGAATACAAACAAAGGATATCAATAGACAGAGAAAACCTGTAATTGGCTTATTTCCTATAAGATTGAGAAGAATACCATTGCCTCTATATATATATCGTGTTTTTTTTTTTTTTCTCATTTTGAGCTCAACCCTTCCATTGAGTAGCTTAGATTTGAAGACAATAGGAGAGCGATCCACTTTACCAAATTTTCCACCAAGGAGATGGACAATCACTTAGATGAAAAGATCACAAGTCTTGATAACAACCTCGATGGCACCACCAAGAGTCTCAATTCAATCACAGCAGTAGCTCATCAAGCAAAGAAGGAGGTGGTCGAAGTAAGCCTAAAGGAGAGGCAATGTTACTCAATAATGCTCACATTGGTGGAAGGGCAAAAACAAGTGAAGGTGATGATCCAAGACTTTCACATATCTTTAGACAAGAGATGCCAAGATGTCCAGAGGAGAACTAAAGGAGCTGAAGACAAGGCTGAAGGAGTCTCCAAGGAAGTCAAAGATCTAAGCAATCACTTAGCTATACTGGAGGAGAAGGTCTTAACCGAGGCAAAGACAGCCGGCTCAAGGCACAACAATGCCTCGGCCGTTTTTGTTGTAAGAGAGACCGATCCAAGAGTGACTTGGGATGAAGGTGAAAGTAGAGCACGACCAAGAAAGGGCCCTGAAGCTGACAAGTATAGGCGGGCTTGTACCAGAAGATACCATCTTTGACCTAAGACCACCACGACCAAGTCAAGGATCCAATAAAAGGAAGAAGATGTCACCAAGCAAGAAGATCATGGATGATTTCGACTTCATGGCAAAGAGATTCCCTTACAACATCACGTTTGAGAGTGCATGTTACCGATGCCCTTTCATGCAGGATTTGATTTATCATAAAAAATGGAGAATGGCTGACATGAAGAGGATGTACAAGGAAGCAAGAAATAGAATGCCTAAACCTAGGATTCTACACAAGCTTCATGACCCAGGTTACTTCCTTATACATTGCACAATCAATGGAAGCTACTTTGATGATGCTCTTTGCGATTCCGGTTCTAGTGTGAACCTTATGCCGACCGAGATAGCCAAGAAGTTGGGATTGATCGATTCAATTGTGAAATCCCACATGGATTTAAAGCTAGATGATTTATCTCTAACCGAACCACTTGGAGAGGTGAAGGATATTCAGCTTGATTTTGGAGGTTGCATAGTTCCAGCCGACTTCTACGTAGTAGCCATGAAGGATCCGGAGGACTTAAGGCTTTTGCTTGGAAGATTATTTCTAGCTACAGCCAGAGCAATCATGGATTGGCCTAATAGAAGAATCTCTCTAGCCAATGTTGACAAAGACACCTTCTACAAAGCTGCACCTCGCTACACAAGTTGAGGAGAGTGCTCACTAGTAAGAGGTGAATCACATGGCTACTTGATCAAGGAAGTTCTACAAGATGAGATGCACTTGGAATCATCAGGAAACAAGAAGTTCTTGGAGCCACCATACCTACCTAACTAAGAACACAAAGGAGTCGAGCTATAAAGTCTAAAAACAAGCGCTTATGGGAGGCAACCCATATCTTCTTATCTCTTCCTCTTTTTATTTTTATTTTTAGAATAACTCATTTGATCTATTTAACTCTCTGATTTTTTTGAGAATTTAATAAAATTTAAAAAAAAAAAAACAAAACAAATAAACAAATTAGGAACAAGTACCAAAAGGAGGCTATACATGAAATTTGCATTGATAGGCTACATCGCCATGAATCGACCAAAAAGATTAATTATCTTTGGTCAAGTGTTGAGTGTTGAGTCTAGTTTGAGTCCCACCCATGTCTCAAGCACCAAAGAATCCAAGAAGAGCTGCGGATCTACACACTACGGCCATTAAAACAATCTTGCAAAAGGCAAAGGTAAGTAACACCTCTATTCAATTGTCATTCTTTTAAACACTCTTTCTACCAGATTAAACCTATATCACCTACTTGGGACCCCTGATCAAGACCCAAAGTCATTAGGTTTACAAGATCAAGTCTTTGATTGAGAAGTTCATATCACTTAAACATCTCAATCATTGACAGAGTTTAACAAAAATAATACTAGTGTTTTCAGATAAACATATGACAGGTGAACCGGCCGAGAACATCAAACAAACACGGCAAACGATAAAGGCCAAAACCGGCCAAAGGAGGAGACGCAAGCCAAACATGCGGGATCACGCGAAGTCCACCTAAACTAAATCCAGGAGGGATAGAAAAACATTTCAGTCGAAGCAGAAATCAATTGGCCCGAGTGAAATAGGAGATATCACACTTAGAACCAATCTCTCGGCCAAACACGAAGATCATAGAGACCATGCTCGGCCATCTCACCAATGGTGTGTGCAAAGTCCACCAAACATCACAGGCGACCTCACAACATCATGTTGGTCGGCAAATCCAAAAGATAGGATGGGAGAAAATGCACGGAACTTGACATGGACAAGGAGAGTCAATCCGGTCGAAGGTGATGCATAAAAATGGCTGATGCACTCAACCTCAAAGGAAGGCACAAACTATGGTGGAAACTGATTCCTAGGTGTATACAAATCACCAAGGAAGAAGAAAAAGAGGAGAAGGTCGAGCAGAACACCAGCCAGCGAAAGGAACAACATCATGGGGCTGTTTGGCGGCCACAATGAACCAATTCCCAGTCCGCTCGTTCGAACAGCCTCAAACTTCACAAGCAGCCATAAAACACAAGGTTGGTCAATGAAATTTCAGTTCAGTACGATGAATTCCTTTTATTTCAAGAGATGTCTGAAGGAGTAATATTTGGCCGATCGGGACAAAGGAATGACCGACAACACCCAATCACGGCATTTACCGCGGCCACCAGCTAAAAACAACTCCATGGAGCATCCATATCGCATCTAAAGAAAAAAATCAAGAAAGGAACGAGCAGAACTGAAGAAGGCTGAAGGAAGACGTTCCCGGAGCCGCTTTGGAAATGTTTCAAAGGAAGTCTCAGACCACTCGTTCAAACGACCCCAACCTTTACCAGTCGACATATTACACCATGTTGGTCGACGAAATTTCAAGATGGGTCGAGGAAATCTTTACCGCTCGAGGTGTAGTCAATACAATCACCATCCGGTCGACCAAAACGGACCAGTCTCGGCCAAAAGGCGAACAACACCACACCAAGCAGGAATTTGGAGAATCATCCAACCAAATCAGCATACAAAGATGTTTGCACCAGTCAGTTCACTCCTGGAGCCAACAGAATACCCCATTCCGAACTTCACAAAAATGGCCACACATTTGGTACAACTTTTCTACAAACCTTAACCATTTCATTTTCATTTTATTTAACCTTTTTTAATTGGATTTTCTTACACTGACACGGTGCAAGTTAAGTCTTGGGGGATTACTAACACGTTTGTTATTTTTGACTTTTAATTTTTCAATTTTTAATTGAGTCGTTTTATTGAGTCAAAATTTTGTCAAGAATTATGACCTTATCTTGGATCTAACCATTGTTGTGCTAACATTTAAGTGACCATTGAGCAATTTTGGAAATACATTTTACCACAGGCGCACCTATGAGTTGATCGATCTACCAAAAACGCCCACATCTCTAAAAGCTTGAGAAGGATCCATCTTTGACTCCGCCCTTAATGAACTTAATCTTCTCAGCTAGGGGCTTGGTCTGGTATACAAATGGCATGATTCCTCATCCTCTCCATCAAATGAAAAGTCTTAGTGAGTCTATGCTTCCCTCTCTCTTCCCCTTCAATTGAAAGAAAAAGCATCAAGGTCCAAGTAACCGGGGATTCGGTGGCAAACACCATCAATACTCGCATCTATGGAAGGCCTATAGATCCAAGTAACCGGGGATTCGGTGGCAATCCAAGCAAAGAAAACCTCTATAATAAGAGAAGAAGTTGAATAAAAAATACATTGCTACCCTAAAAATGGGATAAATCAACTTAAAGAAGTGAGAAGAGAGAGAGGAGGAACATGGAGTAAAGACAAGTGTTTAATCATGAGGATGGTGAAGAGTCTAAAGCCGGCTGATCGATACTCCCTAGTTGAGTTAGAAACTAAAGGAGTCAAGGGTGGCGAATTGGATGGTCTAAGGAGAGGTGGACTGCTTTGGGACAATCGCAAAACTCATGGTATGTACTCTTTTTCTTAATTCAAATTTGCCTTTGCTGTTTTCATGTGGATCACTAAAATAACGCCAACCCGGATTTCCTAACGACTTGAGAGTTCTTATTTTTTCAAACTTCTCTTTCTCTCTTGGTTTGCTTAAAGACAAGCAAAAGCTAAGTCTAGAGGAGTTGATATATCCATATCTTGCATGTTTTACTAATGTTTTCATCATATTTTCAATACAAATAACATGACTTTTGTGCCCAAGTAGTAGTTTTCTTATATATTCTGGTTTTGAGTATCATTCATGTCAAAATAGCAAAGAATAGTTCAAAATAGAGCAAAAGGAACCAAACAACCAAGTTCCCAAGTCTAGAGCACCAAAACTATATTTCTGGCTAAAGACCAAACCGGAGTAACTGGAGTTTGATCGTGCATTCATGCCTTCTTGACGTCCAAAAATCACGATTTGTATATGGAAAGATATATAAATGAGTCTTGCATCACGTCGAAGTGGAAAGAGGTTATTTGGATCAACCATCGGGCTGGAAATTATTTTCTACCGAGACATGTCCGGTTAGCGTCCAAGTAGAGCCATGGAAAATTTGAAGTGTATAAAGGCCCGAGCAACCGCACCCAAGGCCTTGGCTTATCATGAAATTGTCCTAGCTCGATCAAGGAGGCTTCCTTGGCCCGAAGACGGCCCGTTCAAAAACTGGAGAGCAAGCTCAAGCGGCTGAAGAGAAATGGAAACTTTCCTCTTCTTGGCGCGTCTCAACTTTGCCGACATAGGCCCTCTCTACCTATATATACTTGCTTTTAGCCTCTTGTTCAAAGAATCCTCATTCTATTATTCAATAAGAAAAAGTTTATGAGCCACTTAGGTGGTCTCCTTGTTCTTCTTCTTTTCTTCTTAATAGAACCTAAGTGGCTCCGAAACATTTTCTTATTGAATAATAGAATGTGGATTCTTGTTAGAAGAGGCTAAAAGCATGTATATATAGGTAGAGAGAGGGTCTAGGTCGGCAAAGTTGAGGCGCGCAAGAAGAGGAAAGTTTCCATTTCTCTTCAGCCGCTTGAGCTTGCTCTCCAAGTTCTTGAATGGGCCGAGTTCGGGCCAAGGAAGCCTCCTTAATTGAGCTAGGATATTTTCAAGATGAGCCAAGGCCTTTGGCGCGGTTTCGCGGACCTTTAGACACTCAAATTCTCCACGGGCTCTACTTGGGCGCTAACCAGACATGTCTCGGTAGAAAATAAGTTACGGCCCGATGAGTGATCCAAATGACCTCTTTCCACTTCGAAGTGATGCACAACTCATTTATCTATCTTTCCATATAAGAATCATGATTTTTGGACGTCGGGAAGGCATGAATGCGCGGTCGAAATTCAGATGCTCCGGTTTGGTCTTTAGCGAGAAATATAGTTTTGGTGCTCTAGACTTGGGAACTAGATGGTTTGGCTACTTTTTCTCCATTTTGACCTCTTCTTTGCTATTTTGACCTGAATGATACTCAAAACCAGAATATACAAGAAAACTACCTCTTGGGCACAAAAGCCATGTTATTTGTATTGAAAATATAACAAAAACCTTGATAAAAACATGAAAGATATGGATATATCAACTCCCCCAGACTTAGCATTTTGCTTGTCCTCAAGCAAACTAAGAGAAAGAGAGGTTTGAAAACATAAGAACTCTCAAATCATTAGGAAATCCGGGTTGGCTTTATTTTAGTAATCCACATGAAAACAGCAAAGGCAAATTTTGAATTAAGAACAAGAGTACATACCATGAGTTTTGCGATTGTCCCAAAGCGGTCCACCTCTCCTTAGACAATCCAATTCGCCATCCTTGACTCCTTTAGTTTCTAAAGGTGTAGTCTCAACTAGGGAATATCGATCAGCCGGCTTTTAGACTTTTACTCATCTCTTGTTTAGGCACTTGTCTTTTACTCCATGTTCCTCCTCTCTCTCTTCTCACTTCTTCAAGTTGATTCATCCCTTTTTTAGGGTAGCAATGTATTTTTTTTATTCAATTCTTCTCTTTATTATAGAGGTTTTCCTTGCTTGAACCTTCCATAGACGCAAGTATTGATGGTGTTTGCCACCGAATCCCCGGTTACTTGGACCTTATTTTTTCTTTGAATTGAAGGGGAGAGAGAGGGAAGCATGGAACTCACTAAGACTTTTTCATTTGATGGAGAGGATGAGGAATCATGCCATTTGTATGCCAAGCCCCTAGCTGAGAAGATTAAGTTCATTAAGGACGGAGTCAAAGATGGATCCTTCTCAAGTCCTTAGAGATGTGGGCATTTTTGGTAGATCGATCAACTCATAGTGCACCTGTGGTAAGATGTATTGCCAGAACTGCTCAATGGTCACTTAAATGTTAGCACAATAATGGTTAGATCCAAGATAAGGTCATAATTCTTGACAAAATTTTGACTCAATAAAACGACTCAATCAAAAGCCAAAAAGAACAAATGTGTTAGTAATCCCCCAGACTTAACTTGCACCGTCCCGGTGTAAGAAAAATCCATTTATTAAGGGTGAAAAGAAAAAATGAAAAGAAAAGTTAGGTTTGTAGAAAATTGTACCAAGTGTGAGGCCATTGTTGTGAAGGTCGGATTTGGTTGTTGTTGTTGCTCCAGGTGCAAACATCTTTGTAGGCTGATTTGGTTGGATGATTCTCCAAATTCCTCCTTGGTTTAGTGTTGTTCGCCTTTTAGCCGAGACTGGTCCGTTTTGGTCGACCGGATGGTGATTTTACGGACTACAGCTCGATCGGTGAAGAATTTCCTCGACCTATCTTGAAATATCGTCGACCAACCTGATATAATATGTCGACTGGTGAAGTTTGGGGTCGTTTGAACGAGAGGTTTGAGACTTCCTTTGAAAAAATTTCAAAGCGGCTTCGGGAACGTCTTCCTTCATCCTTCTTCAATTCTGCTCGTTCCTTTCTGGATTTTCTTTTCTACATGCGGTGTGGATGCTCCATGGAGTTGTATTTAGCTGGTGGCTGCGTCAAATGCCGTGATCTTGTTTTGTCGTCCATTTCTTTGTTCGCGATCGGCTAAATGTGTCTCCTTCGGCCATCTCTTGAATTAAAGGGAATTCATCATACTGAAACAAAATTTCATCGACCAACCTTAGGTTTAATGGCTCCTTGTGAAGTTTGAGGCTGTTCGAACGAGCGGATTGGGAGTTGGTTCATTGTGCACGCCAAACGGCTATGGGATGTGATTTATTTGGCTGGTTGGTGTTCTGATCGACCTTCTCCTCCTTTTCTTCTTCCTTGGTGTTTTTTATACTCCTAAGAATCAGTTTTCACCATCGTTCGCGCCTTCCTTTGATTTTGAGTACATCGACCAGTTTATGCATCGCCTTCGGCCGGATTGCCTCTCCTTGTCCATCTCAACATCCATGCATTTTCTCCCGTCCTATCTTTTTGATTTGCCGACCAACATTGTGAGGTCGCCGAAGAAGGAGGTAGCCGAAGTAAGCCTAAAGGAGAGGCAGTGTTACTCGACGATGCTCATGTTGGTGGAAGGGCAAAATTAAGTGAAGGCATCAATCCGAGACTTGCACATCTCTTTAGATAAGAGATGCCAAGATGTCCAGAGGAGAAGTAGAGGAGCTGAAGACAAATTGTACTATGATTACATATTGTGCACTTGCAACTATATTTGTGTTTTAGGGATTTATTACTTGTACTCATCCTGTATGCTGCATCAGCACCGCCACCTGGGGCCGCCCCCACTCCCACACTAGCACTAGCATCCAAGCTGGCTTCACCCGGCAAAGATACTGACTGGGTCACTGATGCAGTCGCCACAATTGGTGCTGCACTCTCCCGAATCCGCCAGAAGTCCACGACCCCGACCTCGGCCTCCTCAGACTCCAGCTCTGCCACCACGGGCAACTGCTCTGCCCTCATGGGAACCAGCTCTACCACGCCCTCTCACGCCACGACCTCTATCACATCCATCTCGCTGCACTTCCAAAGAACAGCAGATGAGGAATTAAACACACAGAAACACAAACACAAACACACAACTCATCGTGGAGTCTCCTGAAGCCCGAAGAAGATGATACTAGTACTATCAATTTCTAACAGTCCTAAAACCGTATAGACTATGATACCATAATGAAACAACCAAACTTAAAAAACAAAAAAAACAAAAAAAAACAATTATCAATACTCAGCGGAAGTCTTTTTTTTTTTGAACAAACAATACTTTATAAATCTTAAACTCCATTAGAGGAGGAATTGTTCACAACAAACCAAACCATAACCATGGCTGGACAAGAAACAAACGTAAAACAGATACAATTAAACTCAACACTTAAACACCTAATTTCATAAAGATAGTTAACAACATCTTTAGAGATCAAAGGAAGGTTGAGGCTTTGGGAGTCGAATAGCACATCCAATGCTATGAGTCCAGCAAATGCTGCTTCAAGAAAAGCAGTTGATAGGGCAAGCTTTCCAGCAGCTAAGTCTGGAGCTAATAAACGCCCGTTAGGAGATAAGTGGCTATCGCAAGAGCCTGAAGAGTCTTGGAAAAGAAACCATCCTGCATACAAGTTAGTATCACCAAGAGAGCTTGAAGTTTCCACAAACGGGACACACTTCAGAGGCTCACAGCACAGAAAGCTTCTAACAAAATCTATGTCCATCACAACTCTAGTTAACCATACCATATGAACAAAGGATGGAACTGAGATTGGCTGGAGATTTCGAACAGCAACCTCAAACAGAGGTAAGAGCAGAGGTAAGAGCGTAACATCCTCATACTGAGGTAAGGGGAGCCTCATACTGAGGTAAAACGAGCCTAACAGAGCTACACAATCTGTGATATAACCTTCCAAACTAGAAGCACGGATCAGAGACGTAGGAGAGGGAAGGAGTTGAGCTTGAGACAGACAACTCTACGACCTAGAGACTGAGCGAGAAGCTGCAGAACAGGCGGTGGAGGGACGTCGAGGAAGAGCTCCGGCGACTTAGACAGAGGATCGCCAGCAACGGCAACCGTCATGGCGAAGAGGACACGAAGATTCACCGAGGAAAGGATGCGGCGAGACGGTGTAGCAGGGGGACCAAGGACGGCAGAATTGAAGGAGGCGAGATCTGGAGGATCGGGAGGGTCTGGAGGAGGATCTGGGTGCGGCGGATCTGGATCTGGCGGAGGGTTGAGACGCAGCGGAGCCTGAACCAAAGCGAACGACAAAGACAAAGAGGAGGAAGAAAGAAGAAGGTTCTCACCGGTGGCGTGAGGCCAGACCGGCAGCGGCGACGGCGCAAGGAAAAAACCCTAATCGCAACTCATGTCGCCTCGGAAGTCTAAAAACAAATAATCATTAACAAATAATTCAATTCAATTCAACAAATGATTCATGAAATAAAACTAGCAAACTAAACATTTGGTTCTAGCAACTTAACAAAAAGCAATAAAACAAATCCTATCATCCTCTTCTTCGGCCTTGACTCCGTGATCACACATGTCTTTTACCTGCATCACAATACGAAAGAGATGTGTAAGTATTATCATAAATACTTAGTGAGACAATTATCCCACTTACATGCCAATTACGCAAGACACTAGACAAGAAAACATTAACCAGCAAACAACGAACAACAGCCACAAAAGTACTGGTTTCGAGCGACACCTCCATGGTGTCGGTCAACACTCGACCTCTGGTGTCGACCGACACTAACTCGCAGACAACAATCACAAAACGACGAATCATGCGAAAAACAAAAAATCACAAGGGTTTCAAAACCCAAAAGTACGATTAAACACAATAACAACATGAACTTCTCAAGAACACGAACAACAATCACAATTCGAGCCTATTGTCACACACTCACCTCTAAAACGGATTGATAAGGAGAAAACAAATGAAGCAACGAAGAACATCAACAAACAGCCTTTGATTCACCCAAGAACACCAGAAAACTCCCAAAATCGCCTCTATCTCCTCTCTAGAACTCTGATCTTGAAAACTGTGCAGAAAAACGGCGGCAGCACCTTTTAACTCAAGTATTAGGGCTTTTCCGTCTAAAACCAGCTAAATTGGACCACTTAAATCGAACCACAATCATTTTTGCCAGATCAGTGTCGACGGACACCCTCGTGGTCGCTCGACACCACACCAAAATTCATAGGATTAAAGGTCAAATTTTCAAAGACAGAATAAATGTGCTACAAATTTGTATGAATCAAATCAAGCTAAAACAACTAAGAGATTGAGGTTAATTTGAGGTTCTGGAATAAACAAAACAATACGTAAAGCATGGCTGCTCCATATGAATCAAATCAAGCTAAAACAACTAAGATATTATTGTTTGAGGTTTCAAAATAAACAAATATACGTAACAGGGCTGCTCCATATGTAATAGAATATTTGTGAAAATCTGGAAATTTGGAGCATTCCAGTATGAAGACTTTAAACATGAAGTCTGCAAAGAAAAGATGGTTATCTGAATACACTTTTTTGACAAATTCATACCAATTATTCTTCCATCTTTCTCAGCTTTAAAGAACTTTTTCTGAGGTAACGACAAGAGAAGTTGATGCAATTGCGATATTAACTTCCTTCAACCAAACCAATTCAGTAAACTGTTAAATCATTGGCACAAACCGACATTTTTTATTATTATCATCTTCTTTTTTACTCCAAATCAAGGCGAAAGCTCTGCTACTGCCACCATCAAAAATAAATTAAACAAACCTCCAAACTCAAAAGAATCTGGAGAAACAATTTAACTCTTCATGTTTCTCTCAGTGTTGAACTCATAGATCCACTGATTCCCTTTCTTCCTCTGCTCTATCTCTCTTTGTTTTGTCGAGATTCTTCTCTTATCCATTGTGTTTTCAAGAAAGAAAAAAAAAAAAAAAAAATTAATTCTCTATTTTTATTTTTATTTTTATATTATAAAGAACTTTTTTTTTAGTTGGGGGAGAGTTTGCCTGGTGTCGCCTTCTTCTCTCTCACTTAATTTACGGACATGTGAAGATACTTCTTGCTTTTGCCTCATCAAATGGCATGTTAGCCATTACTTATCTCTTCTCTTCTTTGCCTTTGTGAGCTCTAAACAAAGATCGAGAGATCGGAAAAAAAAATGTGGCTGCTTTGTGCTCTGATACAAGGTTTGAAGTAATCTGGTGTTTCTGTAAATGCTTGCTATGGATTCTTTGAATGGATACAGATTAGAACCCAAATGGGAAATTGATCCTCAGCTTCTCTTTGTTGGCCCAAAGATTGGTGAAGGAGCTCATGCTAAAGTCTATGAAGGAAAGTAAGCTCCTTTATCTTCTTCTCCTTCTTCTTGTTAAGATTATTGGGAAAGTTTGGATTTTGATTTGTGGGTGAGTGAAGTTTAGTGTTTGTTCTTGTTCGGTAGACTCATCTCTCTTGATTTGCATTTGTAAAGAGATTGAAATTGGATATACATCAATTGAGTTTTTTGTTAAATGGATCTCTACTGTTTTTCCCATTGCTGTGATCTGAGATAGGTACAAGAACCAGACAGTTGCTATAAAGATAATTCACAGAGGAGAAACACCAGAAGAGATTGCAAAGAGAGATTCAAGATTCCTGAGAGAAGTAGAAATGCTCTCACGTGTTCAACACAAGAACTTGGTCAAGGTTCTGTTTTCTTTTTTCTTTAGATCTATTATATTGGCTCTGTTTAAAGTTTTGGAGCTTAAAAACTACAACTTTACATGGAAACAGTTCATTGGTGCTTGCAAGGAGCCTGTGATGGTGATAGTTACAGAGCTTCTTCAAGGCGGTACGCTGCGTAAATATCTCTTAAACTTGCGACCCGCTTGTTTGGAGACTCGTTTAGCCATCGGTTTCGCTCTCGACATTGCTCGTGGCATGGAATGCTTGCATTCCCATGGGATCATTCACCGTGATCTCAAACCAGGTAACAAAAACAGAGATGTTCCCTTCATTTAATGATCTTGTGCTTAAAATATTCACAAAACACCTTGTTTCTTGGAAACCACATGGTCAGATCTCAATCACAAAGAATCTTTCTTTGTTTGTTTTAGTCTGACACTAATTTATAGATTTAATCTTGGTGTTGAGTTAAAAAGGATCATTAATTTGTTTATCCTTTTGCAGAGAATTTGCTTTTAACTGCAGACCACAAAACAGTAAAACTAGCAGATTTTGGATTAGCAAGAGAAGAGTCACTCACTGAGATGATGACTGCTGAGACCGGAACATACCGATGGATGGCGCCTGAGGTTTGATACAAATTTCTTCATTTCTTGTGCTCTTCTTTAGCTAATTCAAGAAAATCTTGGTGGATGTTTCTTTAAGCTAATTTAAGAAAATCTTGGTGGATATGTTTCAGTTGTACAGCACGGTTACACTTCGGTTAGGAGAGAAGAAGCATTACAATCATAAAGTCGACGCATACAGCTTCGCAATCGTTCTCTGGGAGCTTTTACACAATAAACTTCCTTTTGAAGGAATGTCAAACCTCCAAGCAGCATATGCAGCAGCCTTTAAAGTGTGTAAAAACGCTTTCTTTTTTCGGTTTGATTTTGGGGAAAATATTTGCTCATATATATGTCTTGTTACAGAATGTGAGACCGAGTGCTGAGAGCTTACCAGAGGATTTAGGGGATATTGTAACATCTTGCTGGAATGAGGATCCGAATGCTCGGCCAAACTTCACTCAGATCATTCAGTTACTACTTAGCTATCTCTCCAAGGTTGGATCTCCGGTGTCCGCGATTCCGCAACGGATTCTTGCGTCTAAGAACACGTTGCTGCCGCCGGATTCTCCTGGGACTAGCTCTTTGATGGCTACAAAGCTTGATGAATGTGGGGAAACACCAAAGGCTAAAAATGAAGACAAAAGAAAAGGTTTGTTTTTCTGCTTCAATCAATGTTATTGACCTTTTGGATTCACAGAGAGAAACAGTTTTTGTTTTCCTCTGATTTAGGAACAAAAATTATTGATGTAATAACATCCTCCCTATCTCATATAAACTCCATATGAATTTAAGAGAGAAAAAAAAATGTCCATCTATATAAATAAACAGCTGTGTAATTGTGATGAATTTAAAGTAGAAGTAAAGAAAAAGTTTCCTAAAGAGGCTCATGTTCTTTATGTTATGTTAAAATAAAGAAATACTATGAGTCAACAATCTGTTTTTTTTTTTTTTTTTCTGGTTTTTTTTTTCAATTCTTCTTTTATCAGAATTTTACTTATGATCAAATCTACATAATAATATTACCAAAAGCAAAGCTAAACTAGCAATGTGAACAGCAGATACAAGGCCAATCTGTATAGTAATTTGATTCAATAACCAAAAAAAAAACAACTAAAATCTAAAAACTAACCAATTTTTGTCTCTTTTTCTCTCATTATTTCTCTCAAAGTATTTGGTTATTTTAAAATGAGTTTTTTTTTTGGTTACTCATTCGGTTCTCGGTCTGGTTCGGGTCCGATTCTTTCAGGTATAGAAATTTAGAATCCATTCGGGTATTTGTGTTGGTTCCGGTCCGGTTCGGTTCCATCTATTTTGGGTCAGGTTCGGTTCAGTTTATCAGGTCGGGTAAAAATGCTCAGGCCTACTAACTACAATACCAATAAGAGATTGCTTACAGAAAAGAATTGTAAGAGATTGCTTAGTGGTTGGTGTTCGTTTTTAAATTGATTTTGAACTAAATCAAATGATAATTAAGTAAAACATCATACGTATAACATAATTATGTTTCAGAAATTTGTGATTAAAGATCATATTTGAAAGAAAAGAAAGTCCAGAGTTGTCACAAAACAAATTTCCATGAATTGTTTTTTTGTTTCCTGAGTTTTGTTTGATAGAAAAACCCTAGCCGCTGTTGAATGCTCCCTGCGAGAGTTTCCTTATTTCTTCCTCCACAAGTTAACCAACTTTTTGAAGCCACGTCTTGAGTTTTCTGTACATGACTCTTAAGGAAACCTGTACTTTCTCCAAATGTAGTCTTCCGGTGGTCATCATTCGGTTTACCTAGAAAAAACACAAGACAATGCATTATTGCGTGGCCACAATAATTTATGTAATGTTTTGATAGAGAAGCAGACGAATGGATAAAGATAGAAGCATATATATATCAACCTCAAGATAGTCTGAAACGTTATATCCTTGAGTGAGATATGGTGTGAAAACCTCGACGGAACTATCGGTTAAATATTGAAGTTTTGGTACGAGATAAGTGGTCAATGTTACACTTGCGTCTTTGATTCTTGGAATCCATTTCTGTGTATGAAAGATAACAAGTGTGACTTAAGAATCGAAAAAAGCACAAAGGACTTCTCTATTAAGGACAACCGAAAACTTTCAGGGTGAATTGTTAATCCAAGACAAACCTTATGAAGATTTGGGCTAAGATGTTGATGCCATAGAGTCATTACATATTCCTGTAACCATGAAAGAAAGGATTTTATAGAAGATTAATCACTAAGATTATGGGATGTTATTAATACAAGAATTACCTGAGTTTTATTCTGTGTAAGCCCAAGTTTAGACAAGAACCACTTCTCATCGAACTGAACACAAGAAAATAAAGTACAAGTAAGTTTTTGAATATGTACATCAAATCCAATGGACACCATATCTCTTACATTCTCAAGCGTTGGGCTAAGTTCTTCAACTTTCTTAACTGAGATTTCAGCTCGAGTTTCGGCTTCGAGCCTTCTCTTGTGTTGCATTTGGACTTCTCGTCTTAGTTCAAATATCTGCCAGTATCATTAAAAGAGTAATCTAAGGTAATGAAGCAAAAAGGAAATACACTACTCAAGCTACAAAACCAACCTGTTTCTGAAGTTCATAAACCTTTTCTTCTGCTTTGCTTGCGTGCTTCACCGTATTCTTAGACTAAGAAACAAAATCAATTAAGTTTCTTCTGCATCTTTTAAACAAATTTAATTAAAGCCAGAAAGAGAACAGAAACACTCACTTGGAAAAAGTCTATGTCGCTCTCAAACAAGTACAATTTCTCCCGGATAAATAACTCTAATCCTTGGATTTTCTCTTCCTTGGTAAGCAATTCTTGGTGTTTTTCTTTGATGATTGATTCTTATAAAAAACACACACAAAAAGAAAAACAACAATCACATCAAGAGAAGAAACATGCATGCAACTGCGTAAATTGTAAAATCGTTAACTTTGGAAAGAAACAAAACGTTACAAGTGATTTTTAGAAACATCTCCTTTGTACATTTATATAACCCTAAAAAAAGTAAATCAATGTCTCTCCGAAATCTCAGAAACCAAACAAAGAAACATAAGTTCATATGAAATCCAATGAACCATTTGACGAAAAAAAAGAATCCAATGAACCATTAACCATTTCTTCAGATTTCCTAAGCAATGCAAAACATAAAATAAAACAGAAAGAACTTTTTCACATTAATCAGCTAATTGTGAATATATTCTTTTCAATAATTTAACATTTTACCCCTTCAATAAATAAGCCTACAAGTAGATACTGAACTCTAAAGAATTTCATAATTTTTTCCGAGAAAATCTGATAAATGGAAAGGAAGACTAAATATTAACCAAAATAGGAAAATAAATGGTAAAAGAGATGTGGTGGCTTACGGAGAGCTGAAACGGTAGATTTGAGTTTATAACAGTCTTTGTTCTCTGCGGAAGAAGCTTCTTCATTTCTAGTGGATGATAATGGAGAAGAGTTCCAAACGATTTTCCGGAAAATGAAAACAGAAACAAGTACAAGGAAAACAAGCAAAAGTGAACGGTACATGGTTTCTCTCTGCCTCCTCATCTTCCTCTCTTGCATGCAAACAAAAGTGAACGATATCCAGGAAGACTCTTCAACTTTCCTCAAGGCTACCTCAACTGTACATTTCCTCTTGGGCTAACTATTTTGGGCTTCATTCATTAGAACATCTGTATGTTTTATTTTTCTTATATTGTCAACATAATTTTTTAAGCCATGTCTTAATTAGGTTGGACATCCAAAAAGGATCTATGTACACGTCGTTAATCAGAAACTCTGAAAATATAAGATGTGTACAGAAGAAAAACAAATATGCATCAACCAAAATGACGTTAACAGTTTCATTTTTTAATGTTATCAGTTTCATACTTGAATGTAATATTGTGTGTATTAAAAATGTCTTCTGTTAATTTTAATCTGATATATAGTACGTATCCGATATATTATCCAAAATTTTGGGAGGTAGCAAAAGAAGTTTGCATTAACCAAACCAAACGGTCATAATAATTCGTTACAATCTCTCTGGAAAAAAAAAATAAAAAAATAACTCATTATATTAGTATATCTTCTAGATGATTCATAGAAGCCGATATAATTGGAATAAGTAGGAGTATCTTGTTGGTGATGTTGTCCATGGAATATACAAGTATTTGGAATCTGAAACTGAATAATTCAGTTGATAAATAATAAAAACACAAACTCATATCTCATCCTTTGGCATGTTTAGGGGGTCATCATCTCAGCTGGACGGAGACAACACGGACACTTGTGCCAGAGAGGGAACACAATCTTCCCAAGTCTTCAAAGGGTAATCTCTCAGACCAAACCGTTGACTTTGTCCCTATTAATTGTTTATGCTATTACCCTAGATATTTTTTATCAAATAAAATTACCATAAAATCGCTATATAAAGACGTAAATGTGCACCGCACCTTTCTTATCAAAACATAAAAGTCAGCAAAGCAAAAAGGCATATTCCTCTTCTCCTCTGAAGCCTTAATTCCCAAATATTCAGATTCAAGGATCCATGGCGATCCACAAGATCCTCTTCGCTTCACTTCTTGTTTGCTTACTGATCCAATCCAGTCTTGGGGCTACCAAGGAAAGGCTCTTCTCCGACCTAGAGAAAGGTGCTCTTGAGGTCACCGCTAAACCTAGCCGAGAAAATGTTGGTATGTATATTTCTTTTAAAACCATGCTTCATTTTACTCCTTTTTATACGTCCAAAGATTAGTTTAGGTTTGGGCCGACTAAAAAAGAACACGTTATAACTATTTTAAGATTATTTAGATAAGAAATATGTAATCAAAAATCCATTAGAAGAATTGAGTGATTTGGTAACATAAAGGCTGAACAAATATTGGATGTATGGTGTTTAGTGTTGGATGCAGGAATTGACAAGGTGACCGTTACATGGAAGCTAAGCTCGACAGCTACAAAGGAGGCTGAATTTAAGACCATCAAAGTAAAGCTATGCTATGCTCCGATCAGCCAAGTTGACCGACCATGGCGCAAGACCCATGATGAGCTCTTCAAGGACAAGAGCTGCCCACACAAGATCGTGGCCAAGCCCTATGACAAAACCGAACAATCACTCGAATACACCCTCGAGCGCGACATCCCTACCGGGACCTACTTCGTTCGTGCATACGCAGTTGATGCCAACGACCATGAAGTTGCCTTTGGACAAAGCACGGACGCGGAAAAGAAGACCAATCTCTTCAGCGTTCAGGCTATCAGTGGCCGCCACAAGTCTCTAGACATTGCTTCCATTTGTTTCAGCGTCTTCTCCGTCTTGTCCCTGCTCGTCTTCTTTGTCAACGAGAAGAGGAAGGCCAAGATAGAGCAAAGCAAATGATTCGTTTACTTTGCGTGTTTGCGACGTTGAACAAAAAAAAAGCGTTGACTTTGAATTTTCTTTTTTTACCATTTAATGCTTTTGTCTTGTTGCTTACTTTTTTCCATATATATGTTTTTACATATGTGTTTGTATCGTTAAGCCATTTTCATATGGAGCCAAAACTAATCCTACGGTGATGATGCGTTGTGTGTTTTAAAAATATGTTACACATTTTATATATGTTTTTATACACTTTGTTTCACCAAGATTGACAAGAGAATGTTTCATGGTAATAATATTTAAAATACCAAATATCAATATATTTATATGATAATTTCAAATATATCCGTGTATAATAATTTCAAATATAACAGAAAGTAAAGCGACAGTATATGACCGCTGAATTCAAAAAGGATTTTGGTAATATATAACTTTGCATTCGCAACGTTGCAAGGAGATCATGGAAAGAAACATTTGAAGTTTTAACAAAAAAAAGAAACATTTGGAGTTTGTCGTGTGAACCTGAAAAATCTGATATCGTCACTAAATTTATAAGTGATAAGCATGATATGAATTGTTGACAACGATCCCGATCATCGTTAAGATAAGGTCGCAATCAAGATCTAGTTTGGGGGTACTCAAAAATGTCAAATATGTCGACATAATAATAAGATAAACATATTTTGTAAAATATAATAGATGTACTGACGTCAAATAATGTGTGTGAAAGTGTAATAATATATAAATGCGGCGATGCATAACACTCATGCAAAAGTCATCGTTCTGCTGGAGAAACTTTCGTCATTCAAAAAAGTTAAAGAGTTGGAGCCGTGTGTGGGTTCTCAAACAAACAAAGAATTAATATTCTAATATAATTTAATTAATAAAAATTAGATTCATTATCAAAAGAGTTTATGAAAATATTCAAATGAAATTTCTTTTCACTCATATTTCTCTCTTTTTTAAATAAGATATTTGAATTGAAATATTTTGATAAAAACCTTTTGATGCAGCAGATGTTCTTGGTGAACCGAAAATGTGGACTACCATCCAAGTTTAATAGTTAAGATAACACTCATGCAAAATTCATTTTTATGCTGCCAATAGAACTCAATTTTTCTCCATTTTATTTTCTTGATTCAGCATAAAAAAGACGTAGTTATTTTTCAACCTTTTTTGCTCAAAAACAAAAACACATAAATAAATTTAAACAGAAGCTGTTGCTCACCGAGTCACCGTCTCTCCCATCCACCAAATTGAGCCACTTGTTTTGGAAAATCAAATGGTCATAATCAGTAGGCCTTATCAATAAGCTGTGGTGGTTATTACTAAATTCCATCCAGCAGAATCAAGAAATATTTGTATTGTTAATTTATTATTATCATCAATACATTGACTTGTCATCTCTCTAAAGCATGGTGGGACCTATATCCCCAAGAGACATGGAGCCGAACAAGGCCAGTTCACATGGTAAAGTTCTCTGTACGGAGGAAACAATTTTTATATTAACAAAATCTTCAGTTTTTTCTTTCGCTACCTCATCCTATTTTTTCTTCTCTCTATCATGCAATTGATTTTTAGCAATAAGAAAGCAAAACAATGGGCTTTACAATGTTAACTCGTATAAGTATTAAATGAAATTGGAAACAAGAACAGGGCTGACCTTGAAAATTTAATAGTCGCAAGCCCAAATAAGATTTGCATCGAGTCATTTTTAGTTATAAGAAGACGAAGAAATGATAAGGATGGGAAAATTGCTCCTAGGTTCGATCCAGAGCGCCTGATGACTGATGACTCTGATGCCATCTTCCTCCTTATTTTCCTCTTCTCCATATTGGCTTGGTCCAGCCTTCTCTGCGCCTCCCATATAGGTTAACGACGAGATCATGTTTTTAAGCTCATGCTCGAAATGTTGTTGTCGCCTGTGCTTCTCTGCTTCGCCTCTTGACTCGCTTAGCTTCATTCTTTATTAGGTCTTGCAACAAAAATAGCACTAAAAGAAACGAAAAGTAAAGGAAGAAATGCAAATATACATCTCTAAATAGCACTATGTTTTTGGCCGGCATTGCCTTGTGTTGCAATTAAAGAATTGGAATGACTTTCAAATTGGTCGAAGAATATCTTTTTGCCGACTAGAAAACAAAAATGTATGAGACAAGAGAAAGCAGTTTCTCTTGGTGATGAACTTGCTAACGGTCCTGATGTTAAACAATTACGCTCTCTTTATTCCTTGGCCATTTTTTAAACATTTTTTTTTCTCGAAAGGTTCGCACTATTATTACTTATTTTATGCAAAGAAAGCGTCAATCTATTTCACCTTTTATCGGTATGCGATTCTAAAACTTAGTGAGGGATGTAAAACTTAGCTTCTATATATCGTCTGATTGTCATTGATCAAAGTAGCTAGGAACATGTTCTCTTCCGATCGATGATTAGAAATTTAGAACAAGTCTCCGTTGCCATGCCAGTACTCGAAATAGAAAAAAAAAGTGAATTAAAAAATACTGTGTAAGTAGATTTTAAGAAGTTCAGGATTCGACGCCTGGCCACTGCGGATTTTACATACAGGCTGCAGCGTCCCAGACCACCAGTTCTAGGGGGCCTTTTAGTGGACGCTTAAAAATCTCTGGTCGCAGACTTCGGTCCAGTGGGTTAGTCGGCCCACAAATGTGGTCTGGATACTGGGTTAGCAAAAAAAAAGATTTTAAGAAGTTACTAATTACAAACAAGTCTCCGTTTCCATTACTGGAACTTTAGGAACTACATTTTAGGCTATTAGTTAGGTAATAATTTAAAAAACATTGGTTAGTTAACTAAAAAATAAAAATTTAAACAAACATATATGTAGGTTATTTGGTGGATTAATTGGTTGTTTTAAAGTATACTAAAGATAAGGTCATAAATCAAAGATCAAACAAAATTATCCTTAATGAAACCTTAATAAAAAAGTATATAATGTATGATCAAACAGAAAAATACTGCAGATTAATATTTTCTTTCCTCAACAAAAGGAAATTAAAAAAAATAATAAGGGAAAGAAGTGACACCATCAAACACAAGTCAAAAGTCTTATGAGTCTTGATCTGAATTCCACAAACAAATCATCTAAGTTCACTTCCTAATTTGATGATGAAGTTGGAAAATCTGCCACAAATGTAAGACGTGGTCTTTCTACTTTCAGTTCTTTGAGAGGAAACCTACAACACACGGCCAGAAAAACTGACGAGTATAACTGAAAAAAATGCAACAATGGAATATATATAAGGAATATAAAAGAGTTTTCAACGACTAATTTGTGTGCTGTCATGAACGTATTCAAACCAATTGTGAAAAGATATCTCTTTGGTGTAACTAAAGAGACATTTTTCACAACTGGTTGGAATGCGTTCATGACAGCAAAAAAATTAGTCGTTGGAGACTCTTTTATATTCCTAAGGTATATATATATATATTTCATTGTTGCATCAAAATAATAAACAATAATAATAATAAACAAAAAAACAAAATCTGTTACTTACTTTGGTGCATTACATCTCCTTTTCGCCATAAAAGTAATCCATATTCATTTGAAACATCCTGTATATTGAAAAAAAAAATATCATGAGTAAACAAAATCATCTGTCACCATCATATTTTTATAAAAACTATGAGTGATGTCTTCTTAAGAACTCACAATGTGTCGAATGAATCTCAAGTGTCCTGCTGTAAGTAACGAATCCAAAAACTGGCAAACCATTCTCTGAATATCCGTAATTCCAAAAGGGCAAGCATTAATATGACCCGATGCAACAACAAGAGAAGAAGACTGTATGTTAATTCCTTAACTTACCTTCGTTAGCAAAATGGAATCTCGCAATATAAGAGTCTCGATCAGAGCGTCTTTGAAGTCATGGCTCACATCCCTACCATAAGAAACAAAATCTCCGCCATAGGTTTTGCTAACAGAAAAAAAAACAATTATTTCATCATAACTGTTTGCTCAGGCAACATGAATTCACCTCAACAGACAACAGTGTCCTTCAAATCCAGATGTTTTGGATAGGTCCATGTACTTAAGTTTACGCAAATCCTGCAAAGAAAAATAAATTAAAAAATAACCCCAATGTTTTTTGTAACGAACTGAAAACAGAAGAATCACCAGGAAACCAAAAGAGCCATGCCATTAAAAGCATGTAGGCTTCCTGATCTGTTATGTGAAAACGTAGAAGTGATAGTGAAGTAAGATTGGGGCAGTTACTCTGAAAGGGCGAAACATTTATAAAGTTCCATGCACCTGTCACACATTGAGGTCAGACAAACATGGGAGCTATCATACAACAAAATAGCAAAGCATCACAGCGGAAAAACTTTACCATATTTAGCATTCTCTAAGAACAAATGCTGACATTTTATTGTGGGCAAATCTACCACCTCAGGCAGTGTATCAATACTCCTGTCAGTGAAAAACACAAATATTATGACTATTGTAACTAGTCTATGAGGAGTATAAAGACTTGGGAGCTCAGCAGTAGACTTTTAGGGTTTAGGCATTCTGAATTTAGACTAAGAGCTGATATTCGCTTCTTTTCCAAAGTCACTATATGGTGTTGTCTTTTGGTGACTGAACACGTAAACTCTTGGATCTTATCAAAAAGGTACAAGGGGAACTAGCAGATTCTAATTTAACCAATTTAACCTTCTCTTTAATCATGTTTTCTTTTGGGTTTTGGAAATTATTCTCTTAAGGTTTTGTTTTGCTATTTAAATACTTGTTGAAGCCATGCATTAGCCAAAGTAAAAAATGAACAAATAATGGAAAGCATAGATGATGAAAGCAAAAAAAGGAATGGACAATTCATGAAACTCAAACAGAAAATGAGTATATATAGTAAGCAACAAGTAAGGCCAACTTACAATCCAACGATCTTTAAATCGGTCAGATTTGAGCAGACTGACAACGGACCACATAAGGAGTACCTGTCTTCCAACCATCCGCGAATGTAAAAGTGTAGGCTTCCCAGGAGATTCCTTGTTGAACA